CATTCCCACTCACTTATCTTCAATCCCTCCGTGTCTACTGGCTGCTTCCCTACTATTTACAAATATGCCAGTCTTCTCCATTCTCAAAAAATCCATCTAGTTTCCAATCTCTAACTACCTATAAGATATCTAAAAGAGAAATTAAGCTCAGCATGTCCAAATTAAACTCATTATCATTTCCTCCTCTCATCCTCCCCGCTTCCTAACTTCCCTATTACCATCCAGGGTACCACCATTCTCCCACGCCACCACGATTGCAATGTAGGTTTCATCCTTGACTCCTTTCTCTTTGTTACTACCTCCTGCCCTCCCCCATATCCCACTAGCTGTCAAGTCTTACCCTTTCTACCTTTGTTACATTTCTTCTTTTGACACTGCTATCTCCCTGGTGTAGGGCCTCATCTCCTCACTCCTGGACTATTGCAGTTGTGTTCTACTTGGTCTCCCTGCCTCTTCTCTCCCCACACCAATAAATCCTCCCCTCAACTATGAAATTAATATTCCTAAAGACAGGTCTGAAAATATCACTTCCCCTCCCCATTCAATAAATACCAGTGGCTCTTTATTACCTCTACGATAAAATATAAAATGCTATATTTGACTCTTAAAGTCCTTCCTAACTTGGCCTCTTCCTTTTTTTCCAATTTTTTTTAATATCTTACTCTTTTTTTACATGCTCTGTGATCCTCAGAATTAGGGTTAGTCCTGGCTCCTTACAATAGAGTGTCTTATTTCCAGTGAGTACTTAATGAATGTTAGCTGAATTGAATTGACTCCAAGGTTATTTTTCAGAGAACCTCATTTTCCTGAGGTTGCTACAGCTAAGGAGTGTTTGTGGTATATGCTGGGAGTAAGGCCATTGTCCCTCCCAGAAGTCTCCTTGACGTGTCTCAAACAAGACACTCCATCTTTGAGCTAGACTAATGGCTCCTCGGCTCTACGTCATGGCTTCCCTGCCTTCTTTCAAGTTTCAGATTAAGTTTCTCCTGCTACAAGAAGCCTTTCTGATCCCTCTTAATGCCAGTGCCTTCCCTCTGAGACTCTCCAATTTATCCAACCTATAGCTTGTTTGTAGGTAGTTACATAACCTTACTCCTAAAGTCTACTGGTATGGGACTGTCTTCTCATTGGTGGAGATAAATGAATGCCTTGCCATGTGTGAGGGTGAGTCAGGGTGAAGTTGGCCAAAGAAGAGCAAATAGAGAGCTTCAGTCTTCTCAGATTTTCCTTGAGTCTTCTCCACTCTGCACCTCATGAAGAGTAAGACATTCATCTCCACCAGTGAGGAGACAGTCCTATTCCAATGGGCTTTGGAACTGGGCTTACAGTTTACATGTTGGCCCCATTAGACTGTGAGCTCTCTGAGGGGAGATACTGATTTTTTGCCTTTTTTTTTTTTTTGTATCCCTGGCAGTTAGCACAGTGCCTGTCTCATAGTAGATACTTAACAAATTCAAATTGATTGACTGATAATAGCCGGGTTATATAATCTGACTTTAGATGTGCATGAGGCCAATGCTAGACAATCTTATCAGGCCGAAAAGAAAAAAAAAAGGACAAATCTACCAGCCTTAGGAACCACCTCTTCCATGAAGCTTTTCCTGATTCCTCCCCCCAAGCTGAAAGTAAACTCTCCCTCTTCAGATTTCTTTTTTTGAAGTTTCTTTATGGAGACTTTTTCTTTGCCCTTAATCCCATTCTACCCTGTATCATACTTAGTTGTGTATTTCTTATCCTTCCTATTAGACAGTAGACTCTCTGAGGACAAGAATGATGTAATTTTCCATCTTTATATGCCTACCACCCACGTCTTGAACACAGTAGGTGCTTAAATTAATCAAAGTTTGTTTAATTGAATTATATCAAACAGGTCATTCAAGTGGCAAAGGGATAATAAAAATCTGGTAATAAAAAAGTGATAAGAAAAAGCAACTGAGAGTTGTTTGTGGCCTTTCCTCACATCCTTGAGCTCAGGACTTCCTCAAGCTCCCCTACAGCCTCTAAGATTTTAGTGTCATCCATACAAATGAGCAAGTTGCTTGCCCACAGATCAGTGGTACCAAACAGAGGCTCTGGGCAGCAATCACAGGAATCTGTCAATCATCCCTGTAAACCTGTAATAACCAACCTGAGGTCTTTTTGTATGCTTCACTCTCAAATAACACTTCTCCCTTGACAGAAAAGCCAAGCTATATATGGTAGCAAGAAGTGACCTGGCAAGGGTAAACTGGTAAATATTTAACAACTGACTCTCCAGAAAAAGAAAAAAATGTACGCAAGACACATTTTTTAGTTTAATCTGTATCATTAACATTTTATCCATCACTTTCTTAAGTCTAAATAATCAACAAAAACAGCAAATCAAGCCCTAATTTGTAATAGGTGCTGATTTATGATAAATGCTCACACTGAAAATTTAATAATCAGCTTTCAAAAGCTCCAGCAGACCCCTGAGGAACCATCTCTCTCCCTATACATCTTACCTCTGGGGAACAAGATGGTCCTTTTTAGTAATTCTCTCCTCATTTCTAGTTGAGAGTTTTAAAGAAATTGACCTACCTCACTTAGTCCTTATCACCTCCTCTAGCTACCTGTATAAGGCAGGGGATAAAATTATTTTTAAAATAAAATCTAATTGGGAGACTAATAATAATAACAACATTTATATGATACTTTAAGATTTGCAAAGTGCTTTGCAAATATTATCTCATTTTATCCTCACAACCATCTTGGGAACTTGGTGCTGTTCTTATCCCCATTTTACAGATATAAAACTGAGACAGACAAAGGTCGAGTGAGTTACCCAAAGTCACATAGCTAATAAGTGTCTGAGGTCAAATTTGAACTCAAGCTTCTCCTGACTCCAAATCCTGCTCTCTATTTGCTATGTCACCTAAATGAAAATTTGATCAACAGGGAATGAATCCTAGAGAAGTCATTTATTTCCAAGTTGGGACCTGGCTATACTGAGCAGTGAGCGTAGGGACAAAACATCGCAATGGTGGTCTCTTGGGAGTAGCCACTAAGTCACTATGGAGACAATTAGGAGAATAAGGATCTTGTCCGTTCGAGGTTGAAATCCATCTAAGGCAACTCCAAGACTGCTACAAATGCAGACATCCACACAATCTATCCCTTTCATTGATATTTCACTTGGCTAATAGGATTGTTTCCCTGCCTGATGTGAGGGGTAAGGGGTGGAATAGGAGGAGTAGGACATGATCCAGGGAATTATCAAGCACCACATTTGCACACTACCCTATTTGTACCCCACCCCCAACTAGGGTGGGTTTTATACCATAGGGGAACCCTGCATCAATGCTAAAAGGATCCGTATCCCATCAATGCTAAAGGGTCACTATTCCAGTTTAGTCAGAATGGCCCAGAACATTTGGGTCCGTATAGCCACGAAAAAGGACCAGACTGCAGGGCAGGTGAGCACCTGCTAGTTTCCTGAGTGGAAGAGGAGACCAGGAGAACCAGGAGAACCAGGAGCCTGGGCTGACTTGGGAGAGAATGAGAGTACCCTCCGTGGTCGGGAGAAGCAGGAAAGAAACTTTCCCCTTTCCCAAGAGGATGGGGACAGTAAAAAAGGGCAGGAGCACAGCTGTTCTCAGCAGGAGATTCAATAACCACGAGGTAAATTCCATTAGCCTCGAGTATCCCAGGAGGTAATTCCCAGCCCTTTTTCACACGTAATCTAGGGTACACCTGCTCAGTGTATCCTGTGGCTGTCACAGATCAGCAGGTAGGAACAGGAAAAGTCCCTGTCACCATAGGTCATAAGTGGGGCCAAGAACCCACATGGACTTCTCCCTTCTCAGGTTACCCTTACTGTCTCTTCCACAAAATGTATTTCTCAGCATCTATGAGTTTCAGTCTCCCCTCCTCAACTATACTGTAAACTCTCAGAGGGCAGAGGCCATATCTTTTATATCTCTTATATTCATTCCCACCGCACTGGCCACAGTATGTCACAGGTGTTTAACAAATGCTTGCTAGGAGCAGCTAGGTAGAGCAGTGAATAGAGCACAGTCCCTGGAATCAGGAAGACCTGAGTTCAAATCCAGCCTCGGATGCTTACTAGCTGTGTGACCCTGGACAAGTCACTTAATCCCAATTGCCTCAAAAAACAAAACAAACAAACAAAAAACAACCAGAAAATGAAATAAAACAAATACTTGCTAACTTTAATAAAATGTCCCTTAATGATAATGGTTCACATGAAGGCATCACCTATTGGGACCACATGTTCTCACTGGTGAGCTTTCACCTTGCCCTGATCCATGCCTTGAAGTCTCTTCCCAGACATATCCATGCCCTGCCTTTGCTCTTGAAGACCTCAACCCCTCCCCAGTCCAAGTATGTGTTAGCTTCCCCTATTAGAAAGTAAGCTCCTTAAGGAAAAGGACTGCTTCTTCCTTCCTTCATTCATTTATATAACCGCTTAAAGTATGCAAACTACAGTATCTCATTTGATCCTCACAACAACCCTGTGAGGAAGATGCTATTATTATTTCCATTTTACAAATGAGGAAACTGAGACTCAGAAAGGTAAGTGACTGGCCGAGGGCTAGAGAGGTAGTATCTACTATAGTATATTGGAAAGAGGACTGGCTCTAGAATCAGGCCTGAGTTCAAATTCCACTTCTGCCACTTACTAGCTTGGACAAGTCACAACCTCCCTGGGCCTCAGTTTCCCCATCTCTAAAATGAGGGAGCTATACTAGATGGCCTCTGAAGTGCCTTTCAGCTCTAGGTCTGAGTTTTCTATGATGTGGGATTTTAACTCGGCTCTTCTCCTATGCAAGCCCCGTATAATATCCACTATGCAAGCCACCTGGCTTCTTAAGACAACCACCATCCGATTACATCATGTTGGGTGCGGATATAGAAAGCAAAGAGGGATTTTTTGGAGCAGAAAACCAGTCCTGCACCCTGACCCTGAGGAATGGGTACATTATAGGGAAGGAAGGGACAAGGTCTGGGAGCTAGGTTACCTGTATCCTGTCTTCAGGAAGCTCTGTTTTCATGGCCAACATCTCCCTGGCATAGACATCTGGGTAGTGGGCTTCGTTGAATGCCTTTTCTAGCTCCTCCAATTGGTAGGATGTAAAGATCGTCCTGAGGGAGACAAAACTTACTGAAGATTATGGAAGCAGAGGAAACCATATCCGTTATCAGTAGTCAATTAGACTGATGACCCTTCCCCTTCAAATTACTCCTCCCTCCACCAAAGGAGCACCAAAACACTTTCAGCAACAATAATGATGATGATGATAACTAGAATTTATATAGCTTTTTAAGTCGGACTGACAGCTCTCCTCAGTCTTTCCCTTTCCCTCTACAAGGGAACACAAAAGCAACTTTAGTAATAACAATGATGATCCCTAGCTTTCATATAGCACTTTAAGTTAGGCTGATGACTTTCCCCAGCCCTTCCCCTCCCTCTTATCTCACACAAAGGAACATGAAAGCATGGTCAGCAATAATAATAATAATAATAATAGCTAGCATTTATATAGCACTTTAAGTTTTGCAACGTGCTTCACACATATTATCTCAATTAATCTCACAACAACCCTGTGAGGTGGGTGCTATTATTATCCCCATTTTATAGATAGGGAAACTGAAGCAGGCAGAAGTTAAATTACTTGCCCAGGGTCACCCAGTTAATAAATGTCAGAGGAAAGATTTGAATCCATGTTTTCCTGACTCCAGTTCCAGCACTCTATGTACTGTGCCACCCCTCCTCAGAGGAGGGTTGCCTTGACTAGGGTTGGGGTCATCCAGCACCCATCTGCTTCCAAGGGAGAAGCCGAGGCAGTGCAGCTTATAGTTCTGGATAGGTCCAAAATAGCCTGGACCTTATATTGAGGCACCACCATGAGGGATAAAGACTGAGCCTGTTCCATTCCTTCTACCCAGAAAGAAGTAATACGTAGAATTATATACACACAGAAAGGCATGCAAACAGTATAACTTCTTTAATTGGAACCAACATGTTCCTTCAGTGTAATGTGTTGCTTTGTTTGAGCCTGCCAATGACATTTCATTTAGAAGTCATTCTGTGTTTGATCTAGAAAGGGTATCTTTAAAGACATGTAGCAGAAAGAATTCCTAGATCCTATGGAAAGGTTTTTCAAGAAGTCCTCCACATATTGAGAAAGGTGAATGATCTATTGATTTCTAACCCCTTATGGATGTCATTCATTCATTCACTTCACAAGCATGAATCCCTCCAAAGCTCAGATATTCTTATATTCCTACTGTAGCTACAATCCAAGAAATATATCCTATAGAGTATCTCACCTACTATCTTCCCTCTTCTCTTTTCCCAGCCTATTTTACCTCAAGACTTCAACCCTACACCATTCTCTTCTTAACCTTCTCCTCTGCTTTCCCCTCACTGGGCTCCCTAAAATGTCAAATGGACAACACTCTACCACCAATTTCCCCAATACCTGAATCAGAAGGTACACTCCCCCCATATGCTTCATCTCCCCTCTTTTTCAAGACAAACCACCTTTTGGAATTTCCATCCAGAGCCTTCTACCACCCCAACCTCCAATCCTCTGCAGTATCCTCAAGCACTCATGGCACAGATGGGGCATATTGTGATCTCCCAGGGAAGCACTTCAACCTGCTTTTGCCTATCCAATGACAGGCCCAACCTCTTCCTTCTCCAGGTACTGATATCAAGACTGTTTCCAGGTGACATTTACCTGGATACTGTTCAGCAATGAAAACTGAAATCCAAGCTAGGCTTCAAATGCTGAAACTGTGTTAAAGACATTGTATAGTTGATCGCATTTGAATTCTATTGGGTCAACATAGATCTACTACAGGACTTCAAGAATACTTAGAATTCCTTATGTTCTTCTCTGTAAACAAGGAAATAACATCAACCAAAGTATCTCTCAAAAAGGAATCACAAATGTAATATCTTTCAATTCAATTCAATAAGCACTTATTAATGTATACCACATGCAAAACAGTGGACATCGGGCCAGGGATTGACTTAATATTGTTGGGGAATGGAGTCAAGAAGGAAAGGGAAAAAAATCAATTTATTATACAAAGTTCCTGGTTTGACCCTAAATCATTTTTCCTGTTCTCCTGGCTTTAAAATGCTTAAGTATGCAAAAAGTAAAGTATTTGGCATTTTTGAAAGTCTTTCACTTTCTATTCTGATTCTCTTCACTCTGGGCTGTTCATAACTGGAGGGTCTCGCCAATATAAATCACCTCAATCACAATTCCTTTTTGTAATTATTGAAATGGATAAGCACAGGTCACACCATCTGGCCAAGGTCAAAGAGAGGATCAGAGGTAGGTAGGACTATCCATGAACCTTAATTCCCAATCCACTTGGTTTTGGAGGCTGTTCTATTACATTCAAGTCTAGTCTCCACCAACACCAATCCCCATTCTTCCTTTAGTCTGCCCAGTCTATGGTGATCCTGACCCCAGAAGTGAACCCAAATCCTATGTTTATAGAATAGATCCTTGTCTCATTCACAATCTGATCCCAAACTAATCTGTAAAAGAATTCCGTTTGTGTGTTTAGAGGAATTGAAGAATCTTCTGGCATCTGAAGGGACCTGCATTGGTAGACTGTGGTCCCTTTCCCTGTATCTGGCTTTGATTACTCCCCATCCCTCCTCCCCCCACCCCTAGTTAAGAGAGGTGTGAACCTGGATTATCTCCAACAGATAAAGATCTAACTGCCGCCCATTTTCTTTTGTTGAACATCCCTAAATCAGAGAAGCCAGGGAAAAATCTACTTCAATTAATAAAAAATGAAAGTGTCAGCAATTAGCAATCCTTCCCAGTTCTCTAATCTCCTCTACCCCCAGGTCCCTACGCTTTTGAAATAACTTGCAGGAAGGGGGAGGGGGAGCAAGGGGGAAACCTTAACAAAAAACACAAAATTGAAGATCTCCAGTGATAGGGAACCCACTACCTTCTGAGGAGATCATTTTTGCACAGCTCCAACTGTTTAGTTTAATTTCAATGTTCATGAGTCTTTCAAAACATATGTAATGGGGACCTATCTCAGAGCTCATAATTTTAAAGCAGATTTCTTGGAATTTCTGTACTTTAAGACTAAGAAAAAGGGCACGAAAGACTCCCTAATGATCTCCCACAGGACTCTTGTTTTGATCTAGCTGGATCAAATATATGGGAAAGAAAGAGAGAAAGAGAGAGAGAAGGAAGGAAGGAAGGAAGGAAGGAAGGAAGGAAGGAAGGAAGGAAGGAAGGAAGGAAGGAAGGAAGGAGGAGGGAGGGAGGGAGGGAGAGAGGAAAGGAGGAAGGGAAGAAACTGTAATATAAAGAACATTATGGGGGCACCCAAGACCTTAAGGGGTAAACTGTTTTTGAAAATGTTAAGATACTGGGTTCAAGAGCTTGCAAAACATTGATGGCACTTATTCAATAATAGTTAGCTTTGACTGATCTAGGACCCTTACCTCCTTTATCCCTCTCATCCTAAAGAGATACAGGGGTGGGAATGGGGAGGGAGTGTTAGGTGAATAGGAACTTGGAGAAACTTATAATTCTGACAGAAAACAGGAGGGGACTGGATTAGGCAGATTCAGTAAATGGTTTGGGGCCGAAGGAGAAGCCACTTGAAAGGAGCCCGTATGGTCAATTTAGGGACAAACTCCAGGTTTACACTCATTCAAGGGTGTATTAAAGAGGGTTCAGTTTAGGAATAACTTTCTAAGAAGAAATAGGAATACCTTCTACACAGCAGAGAGGTAAGGGACTATTAGGACAAAATATTGTATATATCAGGTGGGTTTGTTTTGTTTTATTGTTTTCTTAATTTGTCCCAAGTGGGAATTAGTTTAGAGGAGGTGGTAGAGGGAAATGGTTGTGATATTAAGACAAAAGGCATCTATAAAATGAATTTTTAAAAAGAGAGAGATGGGAATAGATAGTAGAATTTCCAAAGGCGAAAGATCAGGGGACCGTAGGAAAGAGGTTAGAGATAGCATGAGAACGAAATCGAGTAGAAAGGAGAGAAAAGGATTGCTGGGATGAGGTGGAGAGGAAGAAAGAATGGAATTAGGAATCATCTAGAGATGTAACAAGCAGCGGGAAGACAGGAATGGTGCTAAAGGTAATAAAGAGAGTGGGGAAGGAGGGAGAAAGAGAGAATTAAGGTCGAAAGGAGATTGGGAGGATAGAGAAGGAACAGCAAGTGACCAGGAATGGTTGAAGGAAGAGATAGTCTGAGTCCTGGAAGACCGAAAGCTAGGATCCAGTCGCTTTACTGGTCCGGGGTAAGGAGAAAGCCCCTTCTATGGCGTGGCAGCCGGGAGGCAAAGGAACCAGCAGCAGTTGAAAGCGGGAGTGGATTTGGAGTGAGCAGAGGAACTGGTGCAGATGTGAGGAATATGCTGACGCACTGAAAACTAGGTGGCTGCTTTCCCCATTCCCACTTTGTCTAGGACCCGGCTTTCTGTCAATTTCGTTTGGGATTAAAAAGAAAAGGAAAACATGGGAAGGGAACAGTTTGCACCTCGGCCAGCAGCTCCTCGTCGCCCTGAATCTGACCCACACTCTTGAGGATCAGAACACCACGTTTCTCCCAACATCCCCAGACTGCTTCTCCTCTCCACTCACAGAGCCTTTGCCCAGGGAGCAAGGGTACAGATGTTGGGGCAGGGTTGAGGACAGACTAGGGACTGAGGGAAAAGAGCTAGAAGGTGGCTCCCATAGGGCTCTGACCTGAGTCATAATAGTAGGTGACTAGCGAATGAGTGGCCCTTACCTGTGTCGCCTCTTCTTCCGTTTCTTGGTCTGGTTTAAGGAAGATTTGGTCATTTTTCTGTCGCTGGAAGAAACATCTTCAGAATCTGAAAAGGGGAAGGAGGGACATGCGGCACTATGGGGAATCACGCCTCCTTGTTCTGGTTGAGTAGTGGTTGTTGGGTAGGGGTCAAACTTTGGGGCCCGAGGGCTACTGTCCCCTTTGGAATCACCACTATCCCTACCGCTGTCCCCACTACTGTCTGAGGGGTGCGCCACATCCTCCCGTTCTCGACGCAGATTATAAGAAAGATTTTTTTTGTAGATTTGGTTGTGGTAGAAAAGGGACGGAAAGGAAGAAGCCCTAGGTGTCTTGAAAAGCTCGGAGGAGGGAGAGAGAGTGTCACTAGGGGAGTAAAGGGAAAAGCGGGGGTGAATGGGTAGGGAAAGAGGGCTTGTGCCCCGAGTCCCCGGGGAGATCCAGAGAACAGGAGGAGCGCCCTGGCTCTGTGTTCTCCTTCCCTCTTCAACACACACACACACACACACACACACACACACACACACACACACACACACGCAGGAAAGTTGGACCAAAAGAGTCAGGAACCGCTAGGAAGAAAACCTGGCTTGGACAGGTGGAAGAGGAGGGGAGAGAGCAGAGAACAGGAATGGGGGGAAATCAGGGCAAGAGGTTCACCCTCCCAGGGTCACCTCTACGGGGAGGTGCGTTGAAGGCCCGACATTTTGTGGCAGGAAAAAAAAAAAGAAAGAAAATGAAAAATAAGAGAGAAAAGAGACTGGAGGGGAGATTAGAAATGAATTCTGGGGATCTGCACCCCGTTTGTTGGCGGGGAGAGGAAGGAGAAGAACGGTAGGGGTGGGGAAGAGTAGCTGCGGCCAAGATCGGAGCAGAGCTGAGATGCATCACAGTCCAGGAGCCAGAAATGGCTCATTGAGAACAAATATATTAAATAAATTAATTCATTAAGATATGGGTTGTTATCGAGGGTTAGATGCTATTCCCATCCAAGGATTGGTTCGTTTGTTTGTAACTGATGGAGGATGAAAGGAGGTGACATATCTGGCCAGTTTTCGTTGGCTTTTATTTTTTTGAAAAGAGGAATTTTCGGTCATTTGAACTAACGACAACCAAAAAAAAGGGCAGGGTGCGATAGCGGGGAATAAGAACTTCGGACGCGGGCAGCCGGGGCTGGCAGCAGCGCAGGGGAGCCACGGATTCTAGCGAAGCCTGCTGCGGCTTGGGCTCCGCAGTCCCCGAAGTGGCCGCCGCCGGGCCGGCTCCCCTATCGGAAAACGAATAGGGCTCCCTTCCAGCTCAGCTCTCGTCCCAGGCCTGCCCGGCCCTCAGCGGCCGGGCTGCAGGGGACGTGGACGGGGAATGAACGGGGACTCCTGCGAGCTGCCCCAAGAGATCCGAGCTTCTCACGTGTCCTCCTACGGCCCCCCGAAACACACAACGGGCTCTGGCACCCAGCGCCCCCTCTCTTTCCCTGGCCCTGCAGCCTGAGACGCCCCTCAGGTTCTCAACGAAAGGCGGCGTCCCGGGCTGAGGGGGCCTATCCGGAGACCCCGAAAAATCGTGAAGCTGTTCCTATCGGCGGGCGGTTGGAGGGAAGCCAGACTGAGCCAGGGCAGACGGCCAGGGCGGGGGTCGGGTGGATTAAGGGTGGGAGATGACGGGCACCGGGATTCTTGGGATTCCCTGATGGAAGCGAGGGGTCTCTGTTCCCTCAGCTGTGGCCACTTTGTGGGCCACTAACTTTTTTTCTCCTATCTGTCCTGGGGAGGGACTCCAAGGACGGGGAACGGGCAGATCTCCCCGCTCTCCCCCTTCCCCCAGCCACCATCCATCCCTTCTTGCTCGACTCCTACCTGAGCTGGCCGTCTGGCTGGTATCCAGCTGCCCCGAGGCTCTGCCCAAGGGCTGCAGGTGGACATTCTGGGGGTCGGACAGGACTTCCAGGAAGGTGGGTTGCGTGTAGAAGCCTGGGAGCCCCCCTGTCCCCAGGAGCCCCATGCCCCCCACACCAGCCGGGCTGAGTACCGAGCGGGCAGTCAGCAGGTGCCCCGCAGGCAAGCTGTCCAGGGCGGCCCGCGGATGTGAGCTGGGTGGCTCCTTGTTCAAGCCCAGAATCTCCTGGATGCCGAAACCGGTGCACCTAGGCGGGTTTCCCCCCGAGTTACTCTTGGCCACAGTCTCGGCTTTAGGTTTGCTCAGCGCTTCCCCGGCTTTCCCTGTCATCTCCGGGTGCTTTGGAGGGGCAGAGCCCGAGCCGATTTTTCCTCCCCCCCCCCCCTCCTCTCTCCCCTCCTCTTGAAGTTGGTCCCAGGTGCCCCCTCTGGTGTCTAATGCTCTGGAGCCCCAAGGAGATTCCCCTTTTATCCAACCAGGCAGCAGCCCAAGTGGGGTCAGAGCTGAGCAGCCAATCACCAGGGCCAGGAGCGATTAGGAATTCCAAAAAATTCCTACAGGCTACAGGCGGCAGGCGGCACAGAGGGCCCCAGGGGCACCAGGACAGAGACCAAGAGGCCATCAGGACGAGAAGGGCTTTGCTCAGAGAGATCCAGAGAGTTTCCAGGGACAAGACCTGGAAGACAGGCCCCTGTTTCCAGCGCACAGCATGGCAAAGAGATGTGGGGCCCAAAGGAGAGAGCAGAAAGAGGGGAAACGGGTCGGAGGTTCAACTAGGGCAGATGGGGGGAAGGGTTCCCGGGATAAGACAAGGAGAGATACTTGAGGAGTTCGGAGGAAGAGAAGGAAAAGATGGTACAAACAGGTCAGAAGAAGAGTCCTGGTAAAAAAAAAAACAGAACAGAACAAAACAAAACAAAACAAAATGTCTAGAAAATAGCCGAGAAGTCTCAGGCCCAAAGAATAGGTCCCTCCAGCAGTGCTGAAGAGGAATGGACCAGATTTTTTTTTTAAAGGCAGGAGAAACAGTCCCAATAGAGGAGGAGAAGAAAGCTATCCAGATAGTCAGTACAGGGAAAGGGAACAAGATCATAGAACTAGTTAGAAAACCAATCCTCTGGTTTCACCGATGAGGAAACTGAGGCAATGAGGTTAAATGATGGTGCCTACAGTGGTCAGAGCTTCAACAGGAAACCAGGTCATCTGAGTCCAAATCTAAGGGGCTTTGGTTGGTCAGGGAAGTAGCAAGTAGAAAATAAGGAGAGATTTTGGTCTGGACAGAGGGAAGATCTGGAAGAAAAAAAGAAATCCGATGTGTTGAGTGAGGGGAGGGAAGAAGGGGATATTTCAGGGGAAAGTTGAAAGGATTTATAAATAGAATCCCTGGCAGAATAAAGGGAAGTTAGGGAATTGGCTGGGAGAGGTCATCCTGGCGAAAAGAGAAGAGTGACCTCGCTTGGAAAGGATGGCACTTTCTCAGGATTTATATGAGGGAATATGTAAGGTATGTGTTTGTACGTACATGTGTGTGGGAGGGAGTGTTACAGTGAACGTACCTTCCAGGAAGCTAGCTATTTAGCTAACGGTGCTTTGGGGGAGGGTTCTGGGATGGAGTTTGGGATTGGAGAGGAAGCAAATTGTTGCAACTGTGATTTTAATGGAGATCTGTGATTACTGGAAAGGTCAAAAACAGCAGATTGTACCAAGTAGGAAAAGGAGGTAACTCAAACATAAAGCATCGTCCTGATGCAAAGGTTGGGGATGGCACCCCCATTACGAAGAACATGGAGCTCTGAGAAAAAACAGCTCAGGGCTCCTGATGGAGTCATCCCAGGAGTGTGGCAAGAGGCTCTCTTCTTCCTCCTCCCCCCTCCAACCCCCAATCCCCAGTCTATTAATCAAGAAAGACAGTCTCCAGCTCCCAGGGAATGGGTGGGTCCCTGTGTCCTTGACAGACATTAGCTATTTCCCTTTCAAGGAACCAGCCACCTCTGGTCCCAGTGAGATGGATGCAGGGACAATCAAGATTATTGGGGGACAGGTATCGACCTAAGGAAATGACTCACTTAAGGTCATCCTAGCGGTCAGCAGCAGAGACTCAAATGTTACCTTTGTATGTCACTTTGTATTGCACGAGGCCCTTTCACACACATTATCTCGTTTAATCTACAAAACTACTCTTTGAGGTAGGCAAGGCGACTCCCATTGTCCACATGCTAAAGAAGAGAAAAGTGAAATTCAGAGAAGTTGAACAATTTGTTAATAGCCCCAGAGCTAGTTAGTAATGGACCAATACTAAGATCCAGGAATCCTGACTCTAAGTGAGAGGTGGAGAACCTTCGGCCTTAAGGCCATGTGTGGCCTTCTAGGTCCTTAAGTGCAGCCTTTTGACCAAATTCAAATCTTTGTTCTGAACTTAAGGACCTAGAAGGCCACATGTGGCCTTAAGGCTGCAGGTTCCCCACCCCTGCTCTAAGTCCTGGGCTTTTTGCATTACTCCATAAGAGCAGATTAACTTGAATCTTATTCTAAAGTCCCTGATTCTCCTGCTAAAAATTTTTTTGGTCTTTTTTGTTGTTCAGTTGTGTCCAACTCTCCCTGACTCCATTTGAGTTTTGGTTTGGTTTTTTTTTTTTTTTTTGGAGCATACTGCCAAGATACTGCCATTTTCTTCTCCATTTCATTTTTATAGATGTGGAAACTGAGGCAAATGGGGTTAAGTGACTTGCCCAGGGTCACATAGCTAGTAAATGCCTGAGGCCAGATCTGAACTCAAGGAGATGGGTCTTCCTGACTCCAAGCCTAACACTTCACCCACTTTGACACCTAGTTGCCCTATGTATCTCTCGTGTATGTCCCTTGATCTCTACTCACACAGCCACCATCCTGGTGAGGAGCTTCATCACCTCCCACCTAGACTACTACAGTAGACAATTGCATTTGGCTTCTGTACCTCATGTTTCTTCCCACTCCCATTCGTTCTTCACTTGGCTGTTCTAGAGTGCAGATCTTGACCACGGTCCCCCCGACTCAGTGAACTCCATTGGCACCCTATGACTTCCACGATCATATAGAGGTACTTTGTGTCCTTCACTACCTGGCCCCTTCTTACCTTTCCAGTTTTCCCATTCTCTACTCTATCCCACAGATCTCACAGTCTGGATGTCCTTCATCTCTCCACTCCATGCCTTTTCACTGGCTGCCCTCCGAGCCTGGAATGCTCTTCCTTCTCACCTCCTCCTCTTGGCTGGCTTCTGGGGCTTCCTTTAAGACTCAGCTCACTTTCTGTAGGAGGCCTTTCCTGGTCTCCCCCTTCTCCTCACCCCCACCACTCATGCCTTCCTCCTGAGATTAAATATCTTATATACAATCTTGAGGTTATATGGGTATGTATTTTATCCCTCTGAGATGTATTTATCTTGTATGCCCATAGTTTTCCACATGTTATCTCTCTCATTAGAATGTGAATTCTTTGAAGACAAAGACCATGGTTTTTTAAATTTAATTTATTTACTTTTAGTTTTCAACATTCACTTCCATAAGGTTTTGAGTTCCAAATTTTCTCCCCCTTACCCCAAGACGGCATACAAGCTGATATAGCCTCTACAAATACATTCATATTAAACATATTTTCACATTAGTCACGTTATGAAGAACAAAGACTGTGTTTTTGTCTTTATTTGTATCCCCAGTGCTTAACACAGTGCCCAGCACGAAGCAAGTCCTTAATAAATGTTTATTGAATAACTGTCTTTCTTGGAGCCAAGGTGAAGAGGGGAGAGGACCGTGCTATAGAACTTCATGAGTCCCCAGCCCAACCAGTTTAATTCATGCCAACAAATGGATTAAATGACGAGAAGGAAAAGAGTTTTAGATAAATTAAATGAAAGATAGTTCAATCCAATTTAGGAAAAGTCAAGAAGAGATCCAATGACCAAATAGAGGCACAGAAAGAAGAATGGCTGTTCTGGGGACCCAGCCCACCATTTTCCGTGGTGATGTTAATAGCAGAGTTTGAGATCTATGGAGGATGTGGAATCCTCTGATAATCTGGGGCATAAATCAACCAATCTATCAGGTTATATAACCCACTGGGGATTTTAGCGTGCAATATAGTCCAAGTGGAGATGAGCCCAGTGAAAAAATGTGCGTGTCACAAATATGAAAGAGGAGCAATGGCAGAACTACACTTCAGGACGAGAGAAGATTGACCCTTGAACTGACCATTCAGGATGTCTGGGACATCGTGGAAAGGGTACTGGGTTCAAGTCCTGTCTCTGACACATACTGGCCAAGTGCCCCTGAGAAAGTGACTTAACTTCTCTCCCCTTAGTAATCTATACAACTCTTTAAAACTGTAAGTTGCAGAAAAGGTACCAAGTGGCATTGATAAAGGGAGTTTCCTCATCCCAGAGTTCCTTATGTCAATGAAATCACAGATCCTGCCTCTATCTCTATGTTTGTTGCTGTTATTCAGTCATGTTCAGTCATATCTAGCTCTTTATGACTTCATTTTGGGGTTTTCTTTGCAAAGATACTGGAGTGGCTTGCCATTTCCTTCTCCAGGTCATTTTACAGATTGAGGAAACTGAGGCAAGCAGGGTTAAGTGACTTGCCCAAGGTGACACAGTTATTAAGTCTCTGAGAATTTGAACTCATGAAGATGAGTCTTCCTGATTCTGAGCCTAGTGCTCTATCCGTTGTACCACCTTGAGATACATACACATATATATACATACATACATACATACATACATATATACATACATGAACATATATGCATGAAAATAAACTCCTTGAGAGCAGGAATTGTTCATTTCACTTTTATCTTTGTATTCCACAGTGCCTGCCACAAAATTGGTGCTTAAATGCTTGTTGATTGCTCAAACACATAAAATATTTTGTAATCTACAAATCACCATAGAAATGGTAGCTCTAGTTGTTATTATTATTGCCCATCTCCTTGTAATTGCAAAACATCTGGAGAAAAAAAAGCAAAAAGAATTTAGAATGTTTCTAGAAAGTAACTAGAGCAAGGGTGGTCTCGAAGGGGAGTGAAACCTGCCTGTTTCAAAGGCTCCTACTTTTAGAGCTGGGGATGAATGTCTATGTTATGTTAATGGCATTTGTCATGTCACTGACATCACATGACAACCAAGATGAGCTGGATGAAACACTACAAGGAGGGACATGGTGATGGAAAACAAAGGATTTGAATGATGAAAACACAGATCTTGTCAGGAAATGAGGATGAAAAATTTCTTGACCAACTCCTGGACTTAAAGGTGCCAGATTTCCAATTCCGGTGAGACAATAACCCCTAAAGGGGT